GCACAAGTACAAGAAGCAATAGTTTAAAGTTCACAATTATGAGCAAAGCTAGTGGTAGTCACAACGGGCAAGTGAGGAGGAGGAAAGAGACTATGAGAGGAGAGGAGGTAGTGGGCGGCAGCTGAAGCTGCTGGCACACGGCGCAACTGGAGCAACTGGCACACGGGCAACTGGAGCAACTGGCACACTGGCAACTGGAGCAACTGGCACACGGGCTACTGGAGTAACTGGCTCCGCGGCTAAAAGTAGCGGCAGACGAGCAACGGACTCACGGGCGACTGGAGCAACGGGCTCACGGGCGACTGGCGCAACGGGCTCACGGGCGACTGGCGCAACGGTCTCACGGGCGACTGGAGCTGCTGGCTTCACGGCGGCCACCCCCTTCAACCTCCCCAAACTATCCCACTCCCCCTGACACACACCCGCTGCTACACCGCTAGCTCCACTCCCCCTTCACCCCCCCTTAGTACCACTCCAACGGCTCCAACAAGTCCACCCCCCCTCAGCGGCAGCTGCAGCACAGGGAGACGGAGGAGGAGGAGGAGCAGGGAACGGCACACAGTGGCTTCACCCCCATACCCCTCACCCCCAAACCCTAATTCAGGAGAACGGGCTGTAGGAGGGGTGGGGCGCCAGTAGAAGCACGGGGGACAGCGGGGAGGGCAGGGGCAGCGAGGAAAGGGCCGCCCACGGGCCTGGCACAGCCGCCCGAACCGCGCGCAGGCGGCCCGAGCCGCGCGCGGGCCTGGCGCAGCCCGTACGGGCCGCGCGCGGGCCTGGCGCAGCCCGTACGGGCCGCGCGCTGGCCTGGCGCAGCCCGTACGGGCCGCGTCCGGGCCTGGCGCAGCCCTTACGGGCCGCGCGCAGCCTGTACGGGCCGCGCGCAGGCCACGACGGGCGACGGGGGGCGACGCGCGGGTCCCCGTCGCCCGTCGCAGCGCCTCCCGAGGGCGACGCGCCGAGTGACGGGGCAGAAGCCCGCCGCGCGCCTCGGGGCGCACAGCGGGCAGAGAACCGCCACGCGCCACGGGGCGCACGGCGGGCAGAAAACCGCCGCGCGCCTCGGGGCGCACGACGGGAAGAAAAACTGCCGCACGCCACGGGGCGTGCGGCACAGAGGGTAGCAGTGGAAGTTGCAGCGGAAGCAACGAGGTGGTGAGCCCACCCACAGGATCGATCCAAGGGGATCGACCTGCTCTGATACCATGTGAAAGTTTAAAAGGAAGAAGAGGGAGGTTCACTAGAAAGCAGCAGGATACATGTAGGAAACCCTAAGGGGTTGTACTCGCTATAGAGTACCCCACTGCAGGCTAGAGAACAATGACATTCTGACACGAACTACAATTTCAATTTCCCACACTCTAATCTCACTTGCTGCGCGTCTAGTTAGCATGTTCTGTCATTCTGTCAGTATGTGTTGGCAGGGAATCAATCCCTGCCAAGCTGCGCAAGAATCAGATTCGCGACCCTATATGTTTTCGACTCGATTACAATCGGCAGAACGAGATCTACAGTTTGGTGTAAAACAAATAGAATTTCATTTTTGCCATTATATTAACGCCGACGCTCATAAAAATCCTCGATCATAAGCCCACCCCCTAAAAAATCGTGTTTTTTTATAACCCTTGGGGCGGGCATATCCAGGGGGAGACGGCAACTGTGTACCCCTAGATAAAATCGAAAACCACCCCGTTTTGGCCGAGTATCTGCGCAGCCGCAATTTTCGAGATGTACTCGCACTCTCGTAAAGGGGGGGGGGGCTCCTTGGGGAGGCGGGTAGTGTAAGGAAAATTCCTTTTCCTTACTCCGCGCCCCTACTTAACGCGTACACGACGGTTCCCGCCAACAGCACCCAACAGTAGAACGTTACCCGATCGCGACACTCGCCTCCACCACTGTTCCCGCCACGATACACATCGCGACCCAACCTCACGGTTCGGTTGGTAACCCGCGCTCCGGTCCTCCGCCTCGACATTTCCCAACCTCGGCGCCATGCTCGTCGCGCACCACATTCTCGCGCATTACCGTTTACCGTACCACGCTAGGCTTTCGCTATATGTTGTTCGCTCATTTCTTCGCTCATTGTACTTGTTACGAATAGTAATTGACGAAACATTACTGTGCACTCCTGACAGTAGCAATCGAAGCATGCAATACCGAGGCTGAAGACGAAAGGGCGGAAGTGACGCGAAGGGTCACACAGTTACAAAGCATCTGGACCGTCAAGGCAGACAGCATCAGGCAGTAGCAGTGGCGAGGATTCTGCCCGGATAGTTTCGTAACCGTCTGGAGTCGCACGGTTGGGTTTCGCTGCAATAAGGGAATGTACCCCTTAGATTACATGGCTAGCCTAGGTAGATTCGTATTCCCTTGTACTCTTATTTATATTCCTGTATTTGCATGTTTTATTTATCTCAATCATTTTACATCCACTCTGAATTGAGGTCAAGGGCCCACCACCATTACTCAGTCGTGTGCGAACCTTCCTGAGGTGATCCTAGGGACGATCAACTTCTGATCGCAGCAGAACTCTTGCTTCGATAGTGCAATATTCGTCCGCTCACTCAATTGCACTCGTAACTGCTAGTAACGAACAAGCATAACAAGAAGCACAAGTACAAAGTGTTGACTTTCTCATGAGTGGAAAACTAAAAGTCGAAGTGTATGGACTCGAGAATTCAAATTGTGTCCAAACTCGAAAAATCCGCAACCGCGGACTCTGACGACGAAGATTGGATGTTGATCGGGAATCTCACCGATGGCTGTCTGTCATGTGGAAAAGCCCATGACCAACACCCCAATCTTCTGCGTTCTCGGGACAGGGATTGGCTGTCTCGCAAACAAACGAAGCAGTGCTGTCCACGTTGATCCGAAGAACACATCAGTTCAACGCGACGCCGTCCATCTCATTCTTGGGCAATAAAAACATCGTTTTCTCGATGCGTACACCGCATAAGGACACTTTTGCAACGGATGTACAGACTTATCGGGCATCTCCCAACGATTTGTTGTCACATGTGTAACGGAAATCCTATGGGTCAGTTGTCACATAAACAGCAATTTGCGAGTGCTCCTGGGAGTTGGGGTCCATGGCGATACGAGACAAAAAGGACGCACAATGTGTAATCATTGCAAACGTGAAGCAGCATTTAGCTCACCATGGTTCTGTCACGCTGGCAAGTAGGCAGCTGTTACGAAAAGGCAGATGCCAGTTTTGAGATGTTTCCTGCCCTTTTAAGAATAAAGTATGGACATCATATAACGAGTGAACGAACATTACTACAAATTTCTTTCCCTCGGTAATGCGATGCCCATTCTCAACAACCCAAGGAACAGTTATGCAGTGAAGGATAATAGCATTCTATGCACGAAAAGAAAACTGCTACAGCGCAATCCGGACTGAACATGTGAGAGGCAGGTTTGCTGTTTCACCCGTGTTCCACCAGTAAAGCAGCAGTTCTCTTTCCTCTCATTGGTGATGAGCAGATTAGAACCTTTGCAAGATTACATCCAAGCGTCACATGCCGCTTATTAACGCTGAATCACGTGACAGTCCTGACCTCCGAGTCGTGGTAAGGGCGTGTCTGAAGTGCAAACGTCGAGTTTCGTCAAATTTCGTCGACGAAACTCATCCGTGGGACCCACGCGTGTTGGTGTCTGAAGTGCAGCCTGACATCCCTCGACGAAACTCGACGTTTGCACATGTCGAGGGATGTCGAACAGTGATACCGGGCAGCTGTTTGAGTCACTGTAGTCAGTGAGTGTTTCAAAAACAATTCTTCGACACGCCATGTCTGCATAGCTGTGGCAAACACACGTGAATAAGAACTAAGACGAGAGCGACACGTGCTAGAGAAATTTCGCTGGCAATGTGACAGTAGAATATCCGGTGTTACCAGCAACAATCTATGCTAAGCGAAATTCGCGAGATTGCAAACAATTGAGTTACATGAATGATTCTGTTAATTCCACGTCGAATTTTCATGGGCAACTTATAACAGTGTTCCTATGGCACGTGTGGGTTATTTTGTCGTGTGGGTGTCTGAAGTGAACACAGCTGAAAACGGATGTCGAGTTTCGTCAAGGAACGTCGACGAAAGTTTCGTCGGCAAACGTCGAAATTCACTTCAGACACGCCCTAACTCACGCGTCAAGTTAATGTTGCTCTCTCCGGTGCCGAAACAAACTATGTCAGACCAGGGAAAGCTTGTAGGGTTTTTTTCGTTCATGAGTGTATGTAGCTGGCTACTCTCACTGTCAGGTTTCACTCTATTTCTTTAAACGAATTAGGAGTCAGAGTCAGAAGGTTTTCCCAAACAAAGACCACAAGAGGCACACTGTCTGAAAAAAATGAAATTGCCGTGTCCCTCATGAAAAATGTAGCATTGCCGCTCCATCTCATGAGACACTTCTGCCTGGTGGAGTTGAGTGGTGCGCACATGCAGTGCAACCAGCGTAATAACTACGTGAGGCGGGGCAGGAACTCCGATCACGTCGGCCTTCTCGAATGGTCCAGTGAGAAAGCAGCTTGAGGCATGCGGGACAACATGCACAGTGCACAGCACCAACCCACGCCCCAACAATGCGGTGGCCCCACGTGAAGAGGTGGGCGGGGAACAAGGGTCACCGCCATCGCGTGCGCCAACTGGGCATGGCTCCGCACGGTGGGCCGGTGGTGAAAGGGATTGGATTGGCAGACAACAAGGAACGAACCAACCAACACCAAGACGAGACGGATTACAGGCAGGTGGAGGAGACGAGAGGATAAAGCTGATCAGGCGTAACGATTAACGAACAACTTGTTTGTCGAGCACGATTTGCACAACGCAATCCTCTCCTCGTCCTCCCTAACGAATTCCTCTCTTCCTACAAAATAGTCCTACATTCTTGATTAGTTCCTCGACCAACACCATTTGCATCGGAATTGCATTCCTTGTCTCAGCTGTTCCTCGACACGTCCACGTTCGTTACTTTTTTCTCTTTCACAAATATCGCTTACCATGTCAACATCGCAGCAGGAGCTCTTACTAGTGATGCAGCAGCGGCAGCGTGCTTTAGCGTCTCTCCTCTCGTCCGGACTTCCCGGCACGACGACCGCTAATAACAACAACGCCTTTGCGCCCCTTTTCACCACGGGCTGGCCCTCCCCGGGACTTCAGCTCCCCTTCGGCGCCGCAAACGCCGCTACTATGATGAACATCGCCGCTAATCAGGTCGCTATGATGCCGAACGGCATCGCAGCAGCACAGAGCGGGCCGACTTCTCTTCCACAGCTTCAGCTCCTTCGCGCGCTGGCCGCGACGCAGATCGCCAACGCCGCCGTCAGCGCGGGCCCGCAGACTTCGCTTTCGAGCCGCGGATCGAAGCGTAGCGCCAAGGACGATAGCAAGGCGCTGCGCCCGCGCAAGCGTGGACGGCCTTCGTACAAGGACCGGGCCGCCGCGGCTCTTGCGGCGGAGGAAGCGGCGAAGGCGGCGAAAGCCACTGCGCTGGCGGAACGCGATATTCTCCTCCGCCAGATCGCCGCGCAAATGGCGCCGCAACTGTCGCCGCAAGGAGCGTTGATGCTTCTGCAGCAACAGATGGCGTTGCAACAACTGGGGATGCTGGGAGCCAACCAGATCGGCGGATTTCCTGCCGCAATGTGCGCTGCACCGCCTGCGCTCGCGCATATGAACGCCGGAACCAACGGCATGACCGCCGCCGCGGCCATGGATGCGGCTCGACAAATGCCGACGGGCGCCGACAAGATCGCGGATCGTGTGGCTTCCGGAGCCGCTAGCCGTCAGTTCTGCACGTCGGACGTTGATTTCGCGGGGCTGGACGGTTCCGCGTGGGACCAATCGCGGATGTTCGCTGTGACGGCGAACGAGACCCAACGGCAGCGCACGGAGGATGTCGATACACATCCACACACGGATGGCCATTCTGGTGACGAAAGCGAGAGCGACTTCAACGGAGATGCTTCGAGCTGGCCCCGGCGCGGTGGGAAGCGGACAAAGAGGACCGTGAATTTGACGCACGAATCTTCGCCGAAGCCTCTAGTCCGTGCGGGGGGTTCTTCAGTCACAGAAGACGGTACCGAAGCGGCCGTCGCGGCCGCTGCGCAAGCTGCGACCAATCACGCTGCGCCAAGTGGCATCTTCATGGCGCCGCCGCCGTCCGCTGGCCCTGGAGGGATGCCGGCCCTGGATTGGATGTTCTCTAAGGAGACGCGCTTCGTGCAGCCCTTGCCTAAGGACGACCTGGAGGAGCATGCAGATGAGCACGTGCCTGCCGCCCCTGCTGTACCTGCTCGTCTAGCTATTCCATCCGTACCTGCAGGTTCGGAAGGGCGTACAGTGCCTTCTTCAGGTCCGGACTCCCCAGCAGGGGTGCAACAGCAGCAGCAGCCCCCTGCTGTTGTGGTGGCAGCGGCAATGCAGCTCCTAGCCCAGGCTATGCCAAGAGTGGGATCTAGGCAAGTGTTGCCTGGTGCTGGTGCTGCACAAGGCATGGGCCCTGTTGCTGGTTTGATGGGCCTGACTCGGTCCAGGAGCAACATTGAAGCTGTGCTTGCTTATGTGGATGCTGAGATCCAGGCAAGGAAGTCTAGGATGGGTGAGGCTAAGGAAGGTGCTTCCGTGCCTGCTCATTTGGTTCCCACCTCTGAAGTTAGGGAGGAGCTCAAAGCTCAAGATCAGCAGCTAGACCTGTCACTTCATTTGTAAACTGATAGATCCTGGAAAATGTATCTTATGAGTTGGAATGCACATAGCAATTTACTATATCAGCATAGCAATTGTACCGTTCTTACCAGGTAGATTGCCCGTTTACCGAACTGCTTTTCGTATTACCCTACCGTTTTTATCGGACGTTTCAGAGGCTGTGACGGAGAAAATCGGCGGTGACGATGTTTCTCAACTGTTGAGGGTGGGACTTCGAGCTGACGATTGGCTGACCCTCGATTTTGCGCGGGTGCAGATTCTGGCGCGCGGAAACGTTCGCCGTCGCGTCAGGTTCTGCTCGATCTGACCACCTTCGTCGGCGACACAGGTTGGATTGGTTTTGTTGGAAAAACATCATCCAATCCAAGCCCATCCATGCATCTATGCATGACCCCATCCCGTTCAGGCAAAACGTGATCGCAATTCGCCATCAGCGCGTTCTCGGGTTCTGTTTGTCCAATGCAGTTCGGTAGGGTCGCTCGCTCACGAGCATTACAATTCTACAAGGGTCCCGTTGTAGAAAACACATAACCGAACAGAACCGTTAGGCACCAAATTTTAGTTCAGAGCATTTTCCTGCAGCGTGAGAGTGACGGCATGATCGATTTTCCCTCTCGTACATCTGACGCTGTGGTATAGACCTAGTTAGCATTGTCCTAGCATCTGTAGCGTTGGATGGTCCCGCGCATATTGTGATCCAGCAGTGAACAGCATTTTTTCTTCGGTTAGCGTTTCTTTCAAAAGTCTAGTAGTAACTATTCGTTCATTATTTATTCTCTCCAAGCAGTGTCCCCACGTTGATTTATGTTATGGCGGCCCTTACGACACAACGTCCTCCGTACCTCATCCTAAAATTTGCCAATGACGTGCGCAAGGTTAGTTCAAGTTTCTCGTTCAGGAATAATTAAGAATAATTCCGCTGTTTCGTTTCAAGCCTACCTTATTCGTCGCTATTGTAATCGCTATCGTCCATAGAGAGAATCACATTTATGCTAATCTCACCCCCTCCAAACCATTCGGGTTCTCTGGCAGGAAATACGCGACGCTGTCACGATGCTAGGTCGAGCAACGTTTCCCTTAGATCCGGGATTCTCTGTCTGCTGCAGCCGAAGACAAGCGGAGATCCGCATTTCTCGTCAAGGTATAGACCACCTTCCCACCCGTGGCGATGACTGCACTGCTGCTGCAGCTGCGGTAGCTTCACCTGGAAACTCTGCTGAGGCAGAATCTCCTAATCTGACGGCGAGGATGACGTGCCTCGGGATCAACGGCATCCGTTTCAAGAAATGCAGCAGGCCGGACTCTCTTTTGCCTAGAGCTACGGAAACCGCAGCAGGCTTAGCAAAAACTGCAGGAGAGTTAGGAGCAGTAGAAGCAGTCGGAGCGGTATCAGGACCGAGACAGGGAGAGGCAGGCGAGATTCCACTAGCACGTGCTGAAAATGCCAGAAGGAATTCCTCATCAGTGTTGGTGTTGGCTAAGGGCGAGTCCGTCTGCCTGTCTCATGGTGACCAGTTTTTCCTAGCTGCAAGCCCTAAGTGCCTTGTCAGCGTGATAATACCGAGTTGTGGCAATAGAGAGGCCAAGCAGACACTATGTGCTGCCGGGGGAGGAGAGGCACAGAGAGAGGAGGTAACGGGAGGAGCAGCAGAGGTGGGAGAGGAGGTCGGAAGGCGAGAAGATAGAAGCAGCGATGTTAGTGAGGAGAAGACGAGGGAGGGTGGAAGATTCGCAGGGGAGGAGGAGGGGAGAGATGGGAGCGAGGAGGAGGGGAGAGATGGGAGCGAGGAGGCGGGAAGGCAAGCAGATAGAAGAGTTGTTAATACAGTGAATACCGTGAGGGAGGGAGGGAGGGTGGGAAGTGATGTGCGTGAGGGCGACTGGAGAGAGGAAGCTCAGATGCTTGAAGAGAGGCATGCAGGGGCGGGAGGGAGAGAGGAGATTGGGATAAGGGAACAGGTCATGGGAGTGGGCGGCGTTGGGTTGAAGAGACTGAGGGAGGTTGCGACGAGGGATGCGTTGTTTCTGGACGCGGCGAGAGGGAAACGCGGAATGAGAGTTAAGAGGAGGGCAAGGAGGTTTGTGCTGGATTCAGAAGAGCAGGAAGACCAGGGGCAGGGGGAGGAGGTGGAGGAAGAGGAAGAAGAGGAGGATGAAGAGGTGGAAGAGGAGGAGAAGGAGCGGGAGGCGGGAATGGAGGAGGTGGTGGTGAGTCTGACAGGGTACGAAAGACTCGCGCGGTCGTCTGTGAAGCTCATGATTCAAGCCACAGGGGCACGGCTCACACGAGAATTCTCCTCACATCTAAACACACACCTGGTACGTCATGCCCCAGCCTTCAGGTCAAGTCTTGTTAGAAAGTCATTTCACGCTCCCTACGTGATTTCAGCCTTTTGTAACTCTGCATCTCTCGTCCCGCTGCTCCTCCCTGCCTGCCTGCCTGCGTGCCTGCCTGCCTGCCTGCAGGTGTGCAATCGGTTTGAAGGGCCCAAGTACGACCTGGCCGTCCGCAGCAACGCAGCTCTCCATGCCATCCGCTGCCATGCTGACGGCAACCAGTGCGACTGTGGTTCTAACGAGGGCGTGGCATGGAGGCACAGGGGGGACAGTGAGGGCGCGGTGTGGGTGGTTAACCACCGGTGGCTGGAGGACTGCTTGCTCTACTCCCAGCGCGTCCCTGAAGTTCCTTACACCCTCCTCCCGTACGTGCTGCATGTTTGGTCTGGTGTGCAATGTATATACCCACCCCAGAGGCTCCTTGTAATCTTCCCGGCGGCATGTTTGGTGTGCAATGTGCATCGTATATATATACCCACCCCAGAGGCTCCTTGCAATCTTGTCCTGTACGTGTTGCATCCATATAATGCTTAATGTACCCTCGAGGATTGTTGTGCCTGACTTTTGTCATAAGTTCTGCCCCTTAATATTTTTTTTTGAGTTTGCACCTGGAGGACTTTGGTAGGGCGCCTTCCCTTCACTTTTTGCAGCTGAGTCGTTTTTTAAATCCTGCACTCGTTCGTTGTACGTCACATTCTGTGAGTGTTACCGCATAATCACTGTCCCTTCCCTTCCCTTCCCTTCCCTTCCCTTCCCTTCCCTTCCCTTCCCTTCCCTTCCCTCTTTCGTTTCCCCAGGGGCAACGCAGTGGGCCCTCCATGTCTCTTTTCCGAGCCGCCACCACGTGCTCCCTCGTCCAGCGCGGTCCCAAGGCCCCCACCCCCGCCTCCTCTTTCCCCAGAGGAACCGTCTGCTCTTCCCTTGATGGCACCGCCGGCTCTTCCCTCAGTGGGCGACTGCAAGGCAGGCGCAGCAGGGGAAGGGCTGCGGACTGAGGCAGCGATAAGGCAAGAGGTGGTGGTGCTACAGGCACCGACCCGCTGTTTTACCCCAGAGAAACCGCTTTCGATGCTACAGGCAGAACCGGGGGTTCTCGCGTCAAGAGAGAATGTTTTGGAAGATGTTGGGAGCGGGTGGGGTGGTGGTGCGGGAAGCAGCGGGCTGAGGGGAAACAGTGGGTCGATGGCAGGCGCTGCACACGACAGAGGCAAGAATTTGGTTGGGCGAGGTGAGGGGGCTGGTATGGCGAGACGTTTCACTAAGAGCAGCCCCTTTAAGAGGAGGAGGCTGCAAGGTAAGGAGAATGTCCCAGAGGGGCATGGAGTGGGCAAGGGTGGTGTGGTGACGCGGATTGAAGCAGCAGCTTTAGCCGATGAGGTTAGAGGTCATGACACTGCTACAGCAACAGCAACAAAAGGACAGGGAGCAGCACAAATAACAGCAGCGGCGGCTGCGGCGGCCGTGGCAACTGCTCCAGCAGCAGAAGCAGCAGCATTAGCAGCAGAAGCAACAGCACCCGTGGCAGCAGCAGCAGCAGCAGCAGTAGCAGCAGCAGAAGCGGTAACAGCACCACCACCAGCAGCACCACCAGTAGCAGCTGTTGCAGAAGTAACGACAGTTGAAAGGGCAGGAGACGTGCGTGAGGTGGAAATTCTCCACCCATCCACGCCCCCGCCTGCTCCCGCGTCCCCCCATCAAGCTGCCCCATCCCCACCCCGATCCTCCCCCATGGCCTCCCGGTCGCCATCGCAAACCTCCTCCCCATTTAAATGCCTGTATGAAGGGGTTGGGGAAGACGGCATATGGCCTTCGATTCATCTAGGGTCTCCTGTTCCCCTCTCTCTGTTGCCATCGCAGCCTGCTCCTGATGTCCTTCAGGTTGCTGCTCCTGATGGTTCTCAGGTTGCTCCTGTTTGCTCTCAGGTTGCGCTGGATAGTTCTCAGGTGAAAACAGCAGAGGAGAGAAAGGGGAGACCGGAGGAGAGGAGAGAAGGGATGGACGCGCAAGGGAGGAAGGAGACGAGAGAAACGGGTTCTGGAGGGAGGGAACAAGAGGGGAGGGAGAGAAGTGCAGCAGATGTTGGACGTGTGGAGGAGGACGAAGAGGACTTCACAGATAGAATCTTTCTGTCTCCTGACATCGGGGGAGGTTCTCGCTACAGAACACTTGACTGCAGGCACAGCCAGCACGTTCACCAACTTCTACCTGAAAATTCGCCTGAGGTAGATCCTGAACCGTCTCCTGTACCCGCTGAACCTGCACGTCTGAAGGTGTCTCAGCCTGGTGAATTCTCCGTACCAGATGAGCGTCATGGCGAATGCTCAGCACCAGACGAGGGCGACTGTGAGCTGGAAACTGGGGGGTCTGGAGGAGGGCAAAGGGACCTGCCGTCTGTTGCTGGTGCTGAGAATTGGGGAGGAGAAGCTTATATGGAGGAGGATGAGGGAGATGACAGCTCATTTCAGCAAGCGAGAAGTCTCCTTGCGTCTCTTTGGAGACCAAGAGAAGAGGGGGCAGGTGGGGGGATGCTGGTGGATGGGCCGAGAGAGCAGCAGGAGGTGGCTTGTGAGTTGGCTGAAAAGGGATGGAGAAGGGAGGGAGCAGGTGGGGAGTTGCTGGGCGGTAGGCAGAGAGGCGACGGGAGACGAAGGGATGTGATGCAATTGGAAGAGAATGTGGTGCAATGCGGTGTGAGGGGAGAGGGTGTGATTGAAGAGGGTGTGAGGGAAGAGGATGAATATGTGATACAAGGGGATGCAAGACCGGGGCACGTGGGGCAGGATAAGGTGGAGGGTGCGAGGAGAGAGGAGGTGGCACAAGCGGGCGTGGGGAGAGGGCCAGGAAGGAGAGGCAGGATTGGAGTGCTGCCCCAGCAGGAGAGGTCAGGCAGTGGTGATGTGATTGTTCTTTCAGACAGCGACAGTGACAGGGATAGTGACAGTGAGAAAGACAGTGATGGTTGTCGCTTGCAGATGGGGAAACGTAGGAAACCGGGAGGTGCGAGGAGTGGTGGGCGAAGTGTAAGAGGCTTGTGGGCGGATGAAGAAGAATGCGGGGAACGGGAGGTGGGGGCAGGGGAGAAAGAAGAAGAGGAGGAAGAAGAGAAGGAGGAAGAGGAAGAGGAGGAGGAGGAAGAGGAGGAAGAGGAGGAGGATGAGATTGAGTTCACACAGTGTCTGCCTGAGAATGCCTTGGGAAGGGATGGCATGGCAGCAAGCGGATCAGGGAGAGGATTCACCAGAGGAGCTGGTGGGGTGAGAGACAGTCACATGTGTGGAAGCCAAGGGGGACACGTGAGAATGCGTGAGGGAGGAGTGGGGCGAAGCACGTGGCACGCCCGACCGAGTGTTGAGCAGGCGGATCTTGGAGGGAGAGAGGAGGGAAGGGAGTGTGAGGGGCGGATGGGGCAGGAGAGAGGGGGTGAAAAGGAGGGAATGGGTCGAGGGGGAGACGAGGGGGAGAGTGCAGGAGAACTGGAAGGGGAGAAGGGAGGGGAGCAGAGATTGAAGAGACTGCGCAAAGCGACGTGGAGGAGAGACCTGTTGCAAAGCAGAGCGGCTGGTGCTGTTGCTGGGGGCGGTGGGGATGGTGGTAAGGGCAGAACATCTGGTGGAGGATATGGTAGTGGTTATGGTACATGGAATGCGGTTGGTGGCGGTGCTGAATTAGAGGATGAGGAAAAGGATGCAGAAGGCTGTGCTGTAGGAGGGGTGCATTCAGGGGACGTGCGTCAAGAGCCCGTTTCGTATAGTCACGAAGCGACAGCTGGCATGTTGGCCGATGACGTGGCGCCACCTGGCAGTCCGGCACGTGGCGAAGGGACGAATGGCGGGCTGGCACGTGGCAAGGGCGTGTGGACGTTGGAGGCATTTCTGGGAAGGAAGGTGGAGCCTAGGAGACCGTTGAGAATAGCAGAGGTGGGAGTCGGAGAGGTGAGAGAAGCAGAGGGTAGGATACCGGAACTGTCCCTCCTGCGAGAGGGGAGTAGGGGTGGGAGCCAACAGCAGCAGCAACAGCAACAGCACGAGCACCATCAGCAGCAGCAGACGCGGATGAGAGAGGTGCCATCGTTGGTACCAGGACAAGCGGATGCAGCAGCAGGTGGTGCAGGTGGTGTGGCAGCAGGGGTAGCAGGGGTATCTGCAGCTGTGGGGGGGTCTGAAGCTTCAGGAAGCAGAGCCACCATCCACAGATACTTTCCTCCATCATCTACCCGACCCTCCGTGCGGGCAGGCAGTTCACGGCAAGTCAGTCGGCTCTCCCCCATGAGGGGCCAGCAACAGAGCAGCCGTTCTCCTACAAGCAAGCAGAACCAGCAGCAGCTGCTTCGACCCAGCCAACAGAGCAATCACCCTCCCGACCACCACAGCAATGCTCCAAGAAGCCACCTGTCCCCTGGGAGGATAGCCGTAAGGGCCTCTTGCTCTGGCGACCCTTTTCGGCTTGCCACTGCATCACATGCTGGCCGTCCCTCTGCTCATCTTCCCACCGTCATACCTGCTGCTCCTTCCTCTGTCCTTGCTGCTGCACCCACTGCTGCACCCACTGCTGCACCCACTGCTGCCGCCCCTCTTCCCATCCGTACCGCCCACGCCCCTGCTCCCTCCCGCCCGCTCTCTCCCCACCACCACACTCTCCCACGCATGCCTGCTGCCCACACACCCCCAAACGCAACCCGTCCACCCAGGGATACCTGCCTGCCAGGTGCAGCTCACACACCCCCCAGGGCAGCACTTAATGCGAACCAGAAAGCACCTGCACGCACACCCCCCAGGGAAATTCTAGACGGGAGCCTAAAAGCAGCTTTTCGCACTCCCACCAAGGCGGTGTTTGATGGGAATCAGAAAGCCGCCGTTCGCACGCCGCCCAGAGCAGCGTTTGCGAGTCCCAGTGGGGGGTGTGCGTGCGCTATCTGCCAGGAGGACACTCCAGCCTCACAGATTGGGGTGCTGCCCTGCATGCACGCCTTCTGCTACACCTGCATTCACAAGTGGGCTGAGAGTGCGGTGAGTAGCGCTACTCCTGTCTTCACCCCCTCTTCCTCCTCTTGTCGGCCTCTCTTCCTTGCCCTCAGACCTGCTTTTTTTCGTTTTGGTCTATATCGAGATTTATCGTTTCCACCATGTATTTGACCCTGTTCCTCGTTTCGCCCCCTCACAGGCCACAGCAATTCCGTGCTGTCCTCTTTGTAAGGAGCCGTTCGAATTCATTAGAGTGCGCAACAAGAGGGCCAGCAGGGAAGCAGCTGCAGCTGCCAAGCGCACCAGTCTCCCTACTGCCCCTTCTTCTGCCCCTTCCGCTGATGCTGCTGGTGTTGATGGTGGTGCTGTTGCTGCTGCTGGTGGCCCTGTGGGTGAAGATGGTGATATGGAGGGGGATGGGGAGGAGGAGCGCATTGTGATGGTGCCAACCCGCAAGAGAAGGGCTTCCACTGATGAGTCGCCACTCGATGTAAGCCAGCCTTCATGACTGTTCCTTTGTTTTTTTTTCTTGATTCCTTTTTTCTTTTCCTTACTCTTCTTTGTGTTTTCTTCGGTATATTTGTTTTTTTTTCTCCTCCTCCTCTTCCTTCAAAATGATCTGCAAAAAAATAAAATACAACCCTCTCAAAACCTCCATTGTTGTTGATGCCTTCTGCACCTCCCACAACAATCCCCGCCACCTTCACCCCCTTCCCGCTCTGTCCATCAAACCATGGTGTGCTGTGTGTGCCAGTCAGGCGCCATGGACGATTTGCTGCTGCTGTGTTACGGATGCAACCACCTGCCTCAACTCACCATGCCAAATTTCCGCTCTTTCCCTGTCGCCCCTGCTCTTTCCCCTTTGCTTCACCAGACCATGGTGTGCTGTGTGTGCCAGTCGGGCGCCATGGAGGATCTGCTGCTGCTGCGTGACGGATGCAACCTCTGCCTTCACTCACTGCTCCCTGCCAACACTTCCGCACTTCCCCTGTCGCCCCTGCTCTTTCCACCCTCTTCCCCCCCCTTCCAGACCATGGTGTGCTGTGTGTGCCAGTCAGGCGCCATGGAGGATTTGCTGCTGCTCTGTGACGGATGCAACCACCTGGGAGCACACCACACCTTCTGCCTCGACCCGCCGCTCCCTGCCGTGCCCTCCAGCCAGGAGCCCTGGTTCTGCCCTGCTTGCTCCGAGAGGAGGTGGGTGCTGCGCGCATAGGCCCCCCACCCCTGTGAAGGAATTTCAGTTCCTATAGATCAAGCGTTCTGGGTATTATTCGTTTCTTACCTGCTGGGTTGCGACTCGAGACAAGTGAATGCAATTGACTGAACCTCTTCTTCTCCCCCTCCGATCCAGGACCCCTCGACGTACGCGTCGCCGCCTTCAAGTGGACAGGCAAGCATCAGCAACTACCAGGAGGAGGTTGATAGGGAGCCGAGCAGCAGCACGTGCGAGTGGACAGCAGCGGGGGGTGATGAACACGGCCCAAGTAGATTCGCCTCAGCCAGTGGGAGGGCTTGACGCTGACTTTGCAAGTGGCATTCTTGGGAGCGCGTTTGGGGATAGGACGAGGTCAAGATTGAGAAACAGCAGGCAAACAACGCTGCCATTCTTCAGAAGTGTCAGATAGGCTCCAGTGTTCGGGGGCTTGCCTTGACAAAGCAAGGAGTACACGGTGGTGACCTCCAGCCTACATGTTTTTCGCTAGAAGGGGTTTCAAGCAGGGTTATTCGGGGCCATATTTGTGGTACAAGCAGCTGTGATTTCACCATACTCCGTTTTGTCATGTATGACAGCAATGCTTTAGTGAAAGCCATTACACTACAACATGTAAGGTAGTATGAGCCCTGTAAATAATATTAAAGTGTACGTTGACTCTGATGCAATAATGGAAATGTGCTCGGGCCCACACAGGAATATGGGCGCCAAGCTTCTTGGCTCAATCAGCGGAGCTGGGCCCGCCAGCAGGGCATGTTTCCCTGACAGGCGGAATTTCCTTTGCTGGAGGTGGAGCGGTGGTCCTGGGGCCAATCGCTGCCGCCAATCATAGTATCCGCACGCAGCATGCAGGGTTGACTCACGTCGGTTGGACGCACGCGCGGCGCAACCAACTTCGGCAAACAGCATGCAGTGACGGGAACTTTTTATCCTTGGCGTTTTCCGCGAGATGCAAAAGTTCGCAGAGTCCCACGAATTCCCCAGCTCAAGGCTCGCTGATCTCGACACTTGTTGTCGTGAATGGTTTTCGCAATGCATAAGCCATCGTTTTGACTGGAAGGTTCTGAGTAACCGATGAACTCCATTCGCTAGAACGACTACATTATCTTCGCGAATATCGCAGGCAAGAAGAATCGATCACCCCCCATCACAGGATGTCCGCGGAACTTCGGCGGAAAAGGTTGCCGTTCCCCCGCACGTGCTCAGCCCCACGCGGTGAGGCAGAGGCGAGCCTGTGAAGTGATGATGGGGGTTTTGGGGAAAGTCTACTGCGTTTGGGGAAAGGTATACCGCGCTTGAGGCAGTTTATTGCGCTTGGAGAAAAGTGTAGTGCGCTTGGGGGCAAGCCTATGGCGCCTGGTGTGCTGTCAGGCTCAGTCAAACTTCCTTGCTCACCTTCTCGGCCTGTCCTGTCTGCTAGGAAACTGAATCGCCTCCTAGTTCACTTCACTTGCTCAGGACAGGAGTGATTTCCTCCTAGTTTCTATGCTTCTAGCAGCTAGAGCCATTTGTTGTAATTTCAGGCGAAGTTCGTCGACGCTGCATTTTTTTAGGAAACGGAGCTTCCGCTTTTATGAGGGAGCTTGCGTTCCTACTGAATAGGGTTTGCAGTTATCCCTGCAGTGGTGTCCAGGCCTCATTTGTCAGCTGATTTTCGTTCCTGACTTACAGGAGTCAGCTGGACGTGGATTTTCTCGGAAATTCAGGCCGTTATGGCGTCTCAGATTGCAGGTCAAGCAGCAGGATGGCTCGACGTGAAGGTCATATACGCCAGAGTATCTGCTCAAAACATAATCAACAGCAGTTCCGACTACCTCGTCTTTTCTTGTCCTCCACGCGAAATTTCCTCGGAATTGGAAGTTAACGGCGCGAGAAGAAGCCCGTTGGAAGACGTATCTTTCTCTTTGAGAAAAGACCGAGCCGACTCTGAAAGTTCTGAAGCGACATTCGTCAGCACCGACAGATTAAGAATTCGAAGACATCTCTCTTTTGACATCTTTCATGAAGGGGAAAAACTGGTCGCTTGCTCTCTCAGTTTAAGGTCCAGTCAAACAATGGAGGAGACGGTTTCAGGCTTACCGGAACGAGGGTTACCGTTGGAAGGTCAGTGGACGCTTGAATGCGCCTGCACCACTAGCAGCTCCTGGAGCGGGTTCGCCGTCAAGTCGGTTCAGGAGCTGTCAGATCACGCAGTTCAGCCGTCTCTGGAGATCTGCATAGTCGGCAGGTGTGACGGTTTGCCGGTCATGCTGACGGAGACGGTGCAACTGACGGCCAGACGGAAAAATCACTGGAAGGCAGGTCTGGATGCAATTCCCGAGGTTGAGGAACCCGACCGGATGCATGCCAGGACGATGGCTCTCGACGAGGATCAGCGGAAAGTCGTCGTTTTTCAGGTGTGATGCATAACTATGTTCTGGTGCTAGTTTTACATCCGTGACCCAGCTTTTTTTCCCCCCTTCCCCACTCCCCCTCCCACCCCACCCCCTCTCCCGCACCCGTCTCGCTTTCTCTTGCCTTGTACTCCTCAACCTAGTACTTCTTTTTCCGTCTCGCTATGTACTGTATTTCTTGTCCACTGCGGTTTTCAGTGTGTTGTATGTTATCCGTGTTCTGGAGAGTATGAATCGTCACTACGTCTGCCTTTAGTGAATCTTCCATCTCTCAATTGTCAACTTCTTGCTCCACTGCCCCTGATTTGTTCGTACAGGGAAATTACAATGGTTCTGAGAAGCAGCCGAGCCAGTTTCCAGGATTCTACGATCTCCCTGCAGGCTATGTTGAAAATGAGGAGGGAAATGGCGAGCTTTCCTGGTTCAATGCTGGAGTGAGGGTTGGTGTGGGACTTGGACTTGGAATGTGCATTGGAGTGGGTATCGGTGTTGGCCTTCTAATCAAGACTTACCAGACAACTGCACGGTCGTTTCGTAGAACCCTCTTTTAGTTAAAGACAGCCGCTCCACTTTGTGGGTCCTGCATTTGCATCTGCAATAATCTGTTCATAAGTGCTGGTGCCTGCAGTGCATGCTGGCAGTGGCTCTACAGTGCTTGCTGGCACTGGTTCATATCAGGCGTTATCCTTTTTGTTTCTATGCATGCAGTGAGGTTAACTCTTGGCGAACACTTGACACTTATCACTGCCACCTTGCACAAATGCTATATGCAAGGGGTACGGCCAGAGGTGTTCCTGAAGTGGAGTGTTGAGAAGGCCGGAGAGGCTAATGCACATGCTGCCATGAGACTGCTACTAAATACAAATGAAAGGAGGTATGCTGCAGGATGCAGCTGAACAGGACAGGAGCCTCAGGGCTCCTAAATGATAATCTACTGCCTCAGGTTATACTGATAGTGAAACTGACTTGCATTGCATTGTATGATGTAGTGTGGGTTGGTGAATTACAGTGCGGGATGCTCATTTACAATATGTACAAGGAAGCTGGATTTTTTAGAGCTTGAGATTCTCTCAAATTGCTCACAGACAATACGGACTGTGTGTGTAATGTTCGTGGAGTTACTCATGGAAAAACACGAACAATCTAAACGGGGATGTAAGAGGGAGGGCCTAAAGCCCCAAACATTTGAAACCACGGTCTGACACGAATGAGCATGATATTGATGGCGACTCGAGCAAAGCCACACGTAGCATCTCCTGATTGGTGCTAACAACCCATCCATGCCATCCACATCATGCTTTGGGAAGCAAAGCCCGCCACCTTGTCCATTTTTCGGCGCTCAGCCCAACCACAGCCCCTCGACATTCTGGTCATAACATGTAACCATTTTCGCATTCAATCAGATGTTTCGCATATGGCTACCATTTCCCGCGAACTGTCGGACAGCGCGTGCGCCAGCGCAACACTGTTCCTGCCTTTCCTCACTTTCATTGGCCGAATTTCTCCCGCCTCCCGCCTGTCAGCGGAACCTGTCCACTCTCTTGGCAGCGGCTTCCCCCCTCGGGCTTGCAGGGACTGGAACGGGAGCCAACTCCTCCTCCCCTCGTCTTGCAGTGGCTTCGCACGGCGACTCCACTCGTCGCCCTCTTCGCCTTCCTTACGCCGACTTTCACTCAGTCCACCACAGCACCCTTCTCGTTCCCTCCCAAACTCTTTCAACCACTCTCAACCCTCCCAACCTCCCCTCCCTTCCATCCAATCTGTTAGCCGCTATTTCCATCCCATCCCTGAACGAGTGTCCTTCACGAATCTCGACATTCCCTAGGCAGCGTAATTTTCTGGCATGACACGAGACTAAGTCGTGGTAACCCAGCTTCTCGGAGTCCATGGCTTCCTCCGTTGTGACGACAGCCTTAGCGCTCCCGTTGAGGGTAGTCAAACACTAAGAATTAGTAGGACTATAGCTTGGCTAAATTTAGGGATTCATATCGCTCAACTCTTAAACTAGACGACCATCAGCCTTATGATTCAGCTTACCAGAGTTACGACAGACCATCAGCCTTCATCTTCCAGAGTTACGGCAGTCGGTAGGTCGTTACCATCAGTTATAACATTGGATCGGACTCTACACCAAGCATCAGCTCGACCGTTTCATCGGTTCTGTTGAAGAAACTTCATTTTCAGCTCGCGAGTCGCGACGTGATTTTTCCTCCTACAGCGGTCGCTCAGATCCCAGCAAGCTTCGTCCTATGTTGAACGTTACGACGGAGTCGCTCACGCAGCCTGCAACAGATGATGCGACGTTACAATGAATCGCTGCACGCATTCGGCGACGTTACGACGGAGTCGCTCACGCAGTCTGCAACAGATGATGCGACGTTACAATGAATCGCTGCACGCATTCGGCGACGTTACGGCGGATACAACTTTACGACGACTTTAGACGACCTCTGACGAAGTTAAGACGGTGAATACGGAGTTCGCGGCGAAGGCGGATCTGCTGATGGATGAGTTCGCGAAGCCGTCAGCCGAGTTCGCGAAGCCGTCAGCCGAGTTCGCGAAGCCGTCAGCCGAGTTCGCGAAACCGTCAGCGCTCGCGAAATAACGACGATACTACCTCGTGTGCATCCCCGTCAACGACTGAGGTACAAACGTCAACGACCTCTTAATGTTACACGCTTGTTCTTAATCTTGCCTCTTAATCTTGCCTCTTCAACTTACACGCTTGTTCTTAACACGCTTTATGCATGTTCTTCTGTAAGTTTCTCTTTTCCTGTATTCTCTTCTCATTCTGTCTCTTTTACCTATTTTTCCCGGTTCAAGCAGGAGGATCGCGGATCACACGGATTGAGCTGCGCGGATCACACGGATTGAGCTGCGCGGATCACACGGATTGAGCAGCGCGGATCACACGGATTGAGCTGCGCGGATCACACGGATTGAGCTGCGCGGATCACACGGATTGAGCTGCGCGGATCACACGGATTGAGCTGCGCGGATCACGCGGATTGAGCTGCGCGGATCACGCGGATTGAGCTGCGCGGAGCACACGGATTGAGCTGCGCGGATCACGCGGATTGAGCTGCGCGGATCACGCGGATAGATCTGTCCCCGGCGATCTTGTGCACTGGATGCACATGGAATGGACGGATGCAATCTACCTGTCATCACCGAGGATGGTTGCTATCAAACCGGGTAAGTTCTCACTCCCGAAAGGCTTTCCAGATACGGAATCGCTAATTCCTCCTTTATTCCGACTTTAATTCCACCTCCTCTTCTTCATACCGTATCTGGATCATGCGTTTCGTGGCGATTCCGTATCTCACTTGTTGCTATTTGCACTGTCTGGACATTTTCGTTTCCTATTTTGAGACGTCTCAAAACCCTAAGGCGCATCTCACTCGTTGCTACTTGCAGTATCTGTACACTTCTGTTTACCAATACGTTTCTCACTCGTTGCAATTTTCGCTGTCTCTCTCACAGGAGTGGGTTCTGCCGTGAAATGTTGCGTCCCAAGAACTGGCGTGGAGCATCATGACGCATCTCGAGCGTGGAGAATTATGTAGCATGCGGCGGGAGCCACGTGTGGAGCAGCGTGGTGCAGCGTGAATCCTATATCTCCTCCTCCTCCTCCTCCTCCTCCTCCTCCTCCTCCTCCTCCTCCTCCTCCTCCTCCTCCTCCTCCTCCTCCTCCTCCTCCTCCTCCTCCTCCGTTACTGGTTGAGACGAAACCCACGAGTCACAGACCGTCCCCACGGCGGTACTACCAAAACCTTGACTGCGGTACACCCCCCACCCTGGTTACCCCTTTGGTACTTCGGGCTAAAGGCCCCAGCGTAAGAGCATCCGGTCCACCCTTGGGTAATCCCCCCCCCCTTCCCCCTTCTCCGTCCGCGAGCCATGACAACACATCTTGGAGCCACGGGGAGCATCATAAGCCCAAGCGTAAGTGATTGATGACAAGACATGACAAGACATTTTCAAGCTACGGGAGCATCTTGGAGCCGTGTAAGTAACCCCGTGTGACAAGACACCCCCCTTTGGTCTGAGACGCTGTGGGTGTAGACTCCTCCAGTAACGGCCCTCCCTCCTCCTCCTCCTCCTCCTCCTCCTCCTCCTCCTCCTCCTCCTCCTCCTCCTCCTCCTCCTCTTCCTCCTCCCTCTTTCTCCCTCCTCCCTTCTGATTCTCTCTCACTGCTGGCGCTGCTGGAGGTGTGGAGGTCCGGGCCTAATGTGGGGGGCCTGGCTGATCCTGGCGCTGCTGGAGGTGCGAAGGATGAGGGGAGGAGCCTGGCTGATCCTGGCGCTGCTGGAGGTGCGAAGGATGAGGGGAGGAGCCTGGCTGATCCTGGCGCTGCTGGAGGTGCGAAGGATGAGGGGAGGAGCCTGGCTGATCCTGGCGCTGCTGGAGGTGCGAAGGATGAGGGGAGGAGCCTGGCTGATCCTGGCGCTGCTGGAGGTGCGGAGGTCCTGGCTGTTGCATGCAGCGGAGCAGAGGCGATGCCTGAGGGGCGACGGGGCAAAAGCGAGGAGCAGAGAAGCAGAAGCGTCGCCTCTGCTCTATGCCGGTAATCTTCTTTCTTGCGTTTTTCCTGTTTTCCCTAGTTCTGTTTGCAGTCATTCTGTTTTCCTTACTCTGTTTGCCTTGTCCTGTATGTCCTGTGTCCGTCCAGAATTGTGGAGGTGGGGAGGAGTGGAGCAGAGGAGCAGAAGAGCACAAGCGTCGCCTCTGCTCTTTCCTGGTAACCTTCTTTCTGTTTGCCTTCATTCTGCTTTCGTCATTTCGGTTTTCCTTTCCTTTACTCTGTCTGCTGCATTTCTGTCTTCTGTAAGTCTATTTCCCTTATTCTGTTTACTTGTCTTGTGTGCCTTGTACGTCCAGAAGTGTGGAGGAGAGGAGGGGGCCAGCAGTGGAGACAGCAGATGATGAGTGGAGGAGCCGAGGAGAAGAGGAGCACTAGAGGGATCATGCCAGCACTCGCTGCAGCGACTCCAGAGAGGAGCACAAGCGTTGCCTCTGCTCTTTGCTGGTAACCTTCTTTCTTGATTTTTTCTGTTTGCCTTCATTCTGCTTTCGTCATTTTGATTTCCTTTCCCTTTACTCTGTCTGCCGTATTTCTGTCTTCCGTAAGTCCCTTGGTACCATGTCCTGTGTGCCTTGTCTGTCCAGAAACGTGGAGGAAGAGGGGGGCAGCAGAGAAGAGGAGGCGAGGAGGGGCCGAGGAGAAGAGGAGCACTGAGGTGGACGGGCGCGTGGCTGAGGTGGACGGGCGAGCGCGGTGGGAGGACGCACGGCTGGCAGCCACTGGCGTGTGGCTGCCTCTACCCGCCCTGCTGACCACCCGCTCGAGGAGCATTGGAGCATTGGAGCCTTGGAGCATCACTGGCATCTCGTGGGCAGCAAAGCAACTGGGAAGTCTCTTTCCCCTCGCCTTCCGTTCTCGTCCCCCACCCTCCATTCGTTTCGTTTTGTCATTCCGTGTTTTCCGCACCTCGTTCTTCACTCCATCGTCCTGCATTTCGCGTTTGTGCACGTCCCTCTGATACGTTCGGCTGCAGCTTAGTAGATGTCCTCCGCGGGTTTTGGGTAGCATAGATTTTGGGTTGGGTAGCATAGAGTTTGGGTTTTGGGTAGCATAGCTCCTCCCTCTGCTAGCTGCAGCCGACGTATCATGGACGTGCATCCATCCCACCACCTCGTTTCCACGTGTTGTTCTCCGCTCTCAATTTTCACACTTCGTTTCCGCTTTCAATTCCGCATTTCGTGTGTTTGTTTTGCTTTCTTTTTCATTTCGCAGTTCTGTTTACTGACTTCGTGCATCTGTCTGTGTGTTCCCTCCCCCTGTTTTTCAGCAATCATGGGTTCTTCGATCCAGATCGGTTCTTCACTCAAGGAGGTGCCGAGCAGAGGAGCAAAGGAGCCTGCAGAGGACGGCAGCAGCGACTCGGGAGGACGGCAGCAGTGAGAGGGAGAAGCGAGCGGTGGGATGACGCACGGCCGGCAGCCACACGGCTGCCTCCTACCCGCCCTGCTGACCACCCACTCTGCTCGAGGCGGGCGCTTCGGGCAAGGAGGCGCGGAGGCAAGGAGGCGGCACTTCAGCAGAGGTGGAGTGCGGTGTGGAATGGTATGGTGCGGCATGAGGAGGAGGCGGACACTTCGGGCAACGAACCGGCGCGGAGGCAAGGAGGCGGCACTTCAGCAGAGGTGTAGCGCGGTGTGGCACTTGAGGTGAGGAGGCAAGGAGAGGCGGCACTTCACTCAAGATGGCTTCTTCACTCAAGATGGCTTCTTCACTCAAGATGGCTTCTTCACTCAACATGGCTTCTTCACTCAAGATCGGAGGCACCTGCAGAGGAGCAGGTGTAGTGCTGTGTGGTCTGGAATGTTGCGGTTTTGTGTGGTGTGGTGGAGCGAGGAGGACGGGCGAGCGTGGTGGGATGACGCACGGCCGGCAGCCACTGGCATGTGGCTGCCTCCTACTTGCCCTGCTGACCACCCGCTCAAGGCAAGGAGGACACTTGGGGCAAGGAGGTAAGCATGCGACTCTTGGGGCTCGAGGCAAGGAGGACACTTGGGGAAAGGAGGAGGAGGCAACCAGGCGGCACTTCAGGTGAGGGGACGAGGTGGCAAGGAGGCGGCACTTGAGACGAGGAGGCGGCACTTCAGTCGAGGAGGCGGCACTTCAGTCGAGGAGGCGGCACTTCAGTCGAGGAGGCGGCACGTCCGGCAAGGGGTGAGGCGGAGGAACGTGAGGGAGTGGTTGATGGGTTGGACGAGTGGATGCATGACTGGGATGCTGTGGGAATGAAAAACGGAGATTAGCGTTGGGAAAGTGTTGAGGCAGAGAGGGTGGTGCCACCTCTCGTAAGTCCTCCTCACGGGTGGCCCCGCCCATCGCTGCTCCTCGTCCTCATTCTTCAGCACTGCCCTCCACGCACCTCCTCTTCCCGCCTCTGACGCCCAACCTGACCTGCACTCCGTCCTCAACCCCTTCCCACCGTCGACACTGTAAGTCTATGGTTTTGGTGTGGAGTGGTGTGGAGTGGTGTGGTGTGGTGTGGTGTGGTGTGGTGTGGTGTGGTGTGGTGTGGTATGGTGTGGTTTGGTGTGGTGTGGTGTGGTGTACCAGCAAGGAGGGGGGAGTGGCAGCATGGAGGGGAGTCAACACCGTCACCGACACTGTAAGTCTCATTCGTTTTCTGCATTCGTTTTTTTGTTCTTAACGTTCAATGTTTCCTTGTTTCTGTTATCCTGTTTCAGCCTGCACCAGTCCCCAAGACGGCTCCAGTTTCCTTGGTAAGTTTCGTTTCCAGTTTTTTGCATCTTTATTTTCTACGTGCTAATGTCGTCTTGTGTTTCTGGTTTTGTTTAGCCAGGAGCAGAGCGGAGCGGGGCGGAGCGGAGCAGGGCGGAGCGGAGCAGGGCGGAGCGGAGCAGCAGAGGAGCTTCTCGGCACTGAAGTGAGGTGGATGGCTTTTGATGGAATGCCACTCGAATTCCTACTTGTTCCTTGTGCCTTTCTTTTCCACTGCATTTGGAATATCGCACTCACCATTAGCATTGCTTCCATTCCCTATGCAGCAGAGAAGCAGCGGAGGTGCGGAGGAGCAGAGGAGCAGAAGAGAGGAGGGAGTCGTCTCTGCTCATCTCTGGTAATCTTTATTATGTTTGCTTTGATTCTGTTTGCCTTGATTCCGCTTGCCTTATCTGTTCAGCCCACGTGCATTATCTATGCAATAAGTCAATTGGTGCATTTGTGTGCTGATTTTCAGTGACTCTGCGTTCCCTTTGCACAGGAGGAGATGCAGCAGAGGCGGCAAGGAGCAGGGGGAGCGGCTGCGGAGGAACAGGAGCAGTCGCCTCTGCTCTTCTCTGGTAAGCCTCCTCTTATCGCCTTAATTCATTTTGCATTGACTGTGTATGCTTTGCCGTTTTTCAGTTTCCGTGAGCTCAAGTTCCCTACTTTCCTTCATCTGTCTGCCATAACTCTGTTTCCTTCATCTGTCTGCCTTAACATTCTTTCCTGAATTCTGCCTCTTCCATTACACAGGAGATGCAGCAGAGGCGGCGAGGAGCAAAGGAGCGTAGGAACAGGATCAGTCGCCTCTGCTCTTCTCTGGTAAGCCTCCTCTTCTCGCCCTAATTCATTTTGCATTGACTCTGTATGCGTTACCGTTTTTCAGTTTCCGTGAGCTCGATTTCCCTACTTTCCTTCATATGTCTGCCTTAACACTGGTTCCTCAATTCTGCCTCTTCCATGACACAGGAGATGCAGCAGAGGCGGCGAGGAGCAAAGGAGCGGAGGAACAGGAGCAGTCGCCTCTGCTCTTCTCTGGTAAGCCTCCTCTTCTCGCCCTAATTCATTTTGGATTGACTGTGTATGCGTTGCCGTTTTTCAGTTTCCGTGAGCTCAAATTCCCTACTTTAATTCATCTGTCTGCCTTAACACTGTTTCCTAAATTCTGCCTCTTCCGTTACACAGGAGAGGAGCCTGGCTGATTCTCTCTCACTGCTGGAGTGCTGGAGGTTCGGAGGAGGAGAGGAGCCTGGCTGATTCTCTCTCACTGCTGGAGTGCTGGAGGTGCGGAGGAGGAGAGGAGCCTGGCTGATTCTCTCTCACTGCTGGAGTGCTGGAGGTGCGGAGGAGGAGAGGAGCCTGGCTGATTCTCTCTCACTGCTGGAGTGCTGGAGGTGCGGAGGAGGAGAAGAGCCTGGCTTATCTGATCCTGGCGCTGCTGGAGTGCGGAGGTCCTGGCTGTTGCGTCGCCTCTGCTCTTTGCTGGTAACCTTCTTTCTTGATTCTCTTCTGTTTGCCTTCATTCTGCTTCACTATGTCTGCTGTATTTCTGTCTCCCGTTGTTCCTGTTTTCCTTTACTCTGTCTAGCCTAAGTTCTGCTTCCGTTGCTCCTGTTTTCCTTTACTCTGTCTAGCCTTAGTTCTGCTTCCGTTGTTCCTGTTTTCCTTTACTCTGTCTAGCCTTGATTCTGCTTCCGTTGCTCCTGTTTTCCTTTACTCACGCCCTGCCTCACCTCCCTTGTCTCCATCTCCGTGCAGACGGGCAGCCCTGGGAGAGCAGAGGAGGTGCAGCGCAGTGAGAGGGAGTGGCGAAAGTGGGATCATGCCAGCACTCGCTGCAGCGACTCCGGAGAGGAGCACAAGCGTCGCCTCTGCTCTTTGCTGGTAACCTTCTGTCTTGTTTTTTTCTGTTTGCCTTCATTCTGCTTTCGGCATTTCGGTTTCCTTTTCTTTTAGTCTGTCTGCCGTAATTCTGTCGTCCATAAGTCCCTTATTCTGTGTACCATGTCCTGTGTGCCTTGTCTGTCCAGAAACGTGCAAGAGGAGGGGGGCAGCAGAGAAGACAGCAGTTAGACGGGCGCGGTGGGATGACGCACGGCCGGCAGCCACTGGCGTGTGGCTGCCTCTACCCGCCCTGCTGACCACCCGCTCGAGCAGCATTGGAGCATGGGATCCGTGGAGCATCAAGGCATCACTGGCATCTCGTGGGCAGCAAAGCAACTGGGAAGTCTCTTTCCCCTCGCCTTCCGTTCTCGTCCCCCACCCTCCATTCGTTTCGTTTCGTCATTCCGTGTTTTCAGCACCTCGTTCGTTCTTCACTCCATCGTCCTGCATTTCGCGTTTTGTGCACGTCCCTCTGATACGTTCGGCTGCAGTTTAGTAGATGTCCTCCGCGGGTTTTGGGTAGCATAGTTTTGGGTTGGGTAGCATAGAGTTTGGGTTTTGGGTAGCATAGCTCCTCCCTCTGCTAGTTGCAGCCGACGTATCATGGACGTGCATCCATCCCACCACCTCGTTTCCTTGTGTTGTTTTCCGCTTTCAAATTTCGCACTTCGTTTCCGCTTTCAATTCTGCATTTCGTGTGTTTGTTTTGCTTTATTTTTCATTTCGCAGTTCTGTTTACTGACTTCGTGCATCAGTCTGTGTGTTCCCTCCCCCTGTTTTTCAGCAATAATGGGTTCTTCGATCCAGATCGGTTCTTCACTCAAGGAGGTGCCGAGCAGAGGAGCAAAGGAGCCTGCAGAGGACGGCAGCAGCGACTCGGGAGGACGGCAGCAGTGAGAGGGAGAAGCGAGCGGTGGGATGACGCACGGCCGGCAGCCACACGGCTGCCTCCTACCCGCCCTGCTGACCACCCACTCTGCTCGAGGCGGGCGCTTCGGGCAAGGAGGCGCGGAGGCAAGGAGGCGGCACTTCAGCAGAGGTGTAGTGCGGTGTGGAATGGTATGGTGCGGCATGAGGAGGAGGCGGACACTTCGGGCAACGAACCGGCGCGGAGGCAAGGAGGCGGCACTTCAGCAGAGGTGGAGTGCGGTGTGGAATGGTATGGTGCGTCATGAGGAGGAGGCGGCACTTCAGCAGAGGTGTAGTGCGGTGTTGCACTTGAGGTGAGGAGGCAAGGAGAGGCAGCACTTCACTCAAGATGGCTTCTTCACTCAACATGGCTTCTTCACTCAAGATGGCTTCTTCACTCAACATGGCTTCTTCACTCAACATGGCTTCTTCACTCAACATGGCTTCTTCACTCAAGATCGGAGGCGCCTGCAGAGGAGCAGGTGTAGTGCTGTGTGGTCTGGTATGGTGTGGTTTTGTGTTGTTTGGTGGAGCGAGGAGGATGGGCGAGCGCGGTGGGATGACGCACGACCGGCAGCCACTGGCGTGTGGCTGCCTCCTACTCGCCCTGCTGACCACCCGCTCAAGGCAAGGAGGACACTTGGGGCAAGGAGGTAAGCATGCGACTCTTGGGGCTCGAGGCAAGGAGGACACTTGGGGAAAGGAGGAGGAGGCAACCAGGCGGCACTTCAGGTGAGGGGACGAGGTGGCAAGGAGGCGGCCCTTCAGGCGAGGAGGCGGCACTTCAGGCGAGGATGCGGCACGTCCGGCAAGGGGTGAGGCGGAGGAACGTGAGGGAGTGGTTGATGGGTTGGACGAGGGGATGCATGACTGGGATGCTGTGGGAATGAGAAACGGAGACTAGCGGTGGGAAACTTGTTGAGGCAGATAGTGTTGGGCCCCCTCTCGTAAGTCCTCCTCACGGGTGGCCCCGCCCATCGCTGCTCCACGTCCTCATTCTTCAGCACTGCCCTCCACGCACCTCCTCTTCCCGCCTCTGACGCCCAACCTGACCTGCACTCCGTCCTCAACCCCTTCCCACCATCGACACTGTAAGTCTTTTGTTTTGGTGTGGAGTGGTGTGGTGTGGTGTGGTGTGGCAGCAAGGAGGGGGGAGCGGCAGCATGGAGAGGAGTCAACGCCGTCACCGACACTGTAAGTCTCTGCTTTGGTTTCCAGTTTTCTGCATCTTTGTTTTTTTACGTGCTAATGTCCCCTTGTGTTTCTGGTGTTGTTTAGCCAGGAGCAGAGCGGAGCGGGGCGGAGCGGAGCAGCAGAGGAGAGGAGCTTCTCGGCAACGCTCGGCCAGGTGAGCTGCGGTGGGGTGAGATGTGATGAGTTGTAAGTGAGGTGGGATGGCTCCATTCCCACTTTCCCATCCCACTTGCTCCCTTTTCCGTACTTGGTCTTGCTCTTCCGACCGGCAACTGTTTTTCTCAATTGCTCCTCTTGCTCCCTTTGTTTGTATTCCTCCTCACTGTCTTGGCCATGCTGGCAGGTGGGCAGCGCGGCGGAAGACCCTCCCCTCCCCTCCCCTCCCCTCCCCTCCCCTCCCCTCCCCTCCCCTCCCCTCCCCTCCCCTCCCCTCCCCTCCCCTCCCCTCCCCTCCCCTCCCCTCCCCTCCCCTCCCCCCCCCTCCCCTCCCCTCCCCTGTTTTTCTCCGCTGTTTCCTTGTTTGTTGCTTGTTTCTTCGCTGTTTCCTTGTTTGTTGCTTGTTTTTCTTCTATGTTTCTTTGTTTGTTTCCTTGTTTGTTGCTCCCGTCCCGTCCCCTCCCCTCCCCTCTTCTCCCCTCCCCTCCCCTCCCCTCCCCTCCCCTCCCCTCTCGTCCCCGTGCAGGTTAATATGCTCAACATGCGTGGGGAGTCGAAGACCCCCCCCCCCTTCCTCCCCTGCCTGTGAAGGTTGATTTGCTCAACATGCGTGGGGAGCACTGAAGACCCCCAACTGTGGCATCAGGTGGTGTGCGGCAGGGGCTGCTAACGGCGTTAGGGCTGGCCTCCTAACGCCTGAAGCGCCCCTGTGTGTGGGTGCTCTGATGATGGATGGGGGGACGCCTCCTGAAGTCGGATGAGCCTCACCCCGCCTCCACCTGGGCCAGGCTCTTCCTGGTTTGAGCGAGGCTTGGGAGACGTCTCATGTCCTCCTCGTGCCACTGCGGGTTTGCGGAGTGGAGGTGGACTGCACGGCACGCCAGCAACGGTCATGGTGGTGGTGGGTGTTGTAAGTAACTGCTTTCCATGCTTTCCTTGCTTGTTGCTTGTTTTCCTTGCTTGTTGCTTGTTTTCCTTGCTTGTTGCTTGTTTTCCTTGCTTGTTGCTTGTTTTGCTTCTATGTTTCCTTGGTTGTTTCCTTGCTTGTTGCTGTGCTTGCTTGCTTGCTTGCTGTTTGCTATTAACCCCCCGTGGTTCCCATGCAGGTCCCACACGAAGGGTCCCCACCTCAACGTGGTGTATGGGTGTAACACTAGGGGTTAACCCCCCTAGTGGCCAAGAGGGGCCCAGAAGACCCAAGAGAAGACAGTGGTGGCGTGTTTTGTAGCTTAGAGTCGCTTGATTGATGGTGGGAGTTACATAATTGCCTATGGTAATTTATGATAGATTCTAATAGGTCATTGAACAGAACAACTACCTCTCAGAATCTACATGCAACGGAATGATTGGGATTAGGGTTTGCAAGCATACAAATAGGAGTCCTACAAATGTTGTACCCTCTAGGGAGTGCCTCACTGCAGCCTATCATAACATTAACATTTGACACACCCCCATAGGCTAAGTGAGGGACACCAGGGCAAGAAAGGTGAAAACAAACGGTCACAAGACCAGTCAAGGCAAGACAAGCTCAGGGTGGATCTCGAGGACACCACACAAATTCCGAGCACAAGCAAGCGGCCACAAGGCCAGTTCAAGAGTTCACTAGGATATAAATAGAAAAACACAACAAGCAGAGCAAGCAACAAGACTACAGCAACCGGGGGCCTACCTCAACAAGCCCCAACTGCACACAGAACCTGTGGTGATCACCAAGCGCCAAGGCCTTGGTGAAGACGTCTGCAGTGTTGGCCTCTGAGGCCACAAAGTCCAGGCGTGCCTGGCCGCGTCGCTGCAGCTCTCGCAGGAGGAAGTACCTCACGTCAATATGCTTCACTCTGCTCTCCAGTCGAGGCTCTCGACACAGGAGGATCATGGCCTTGTTGTCAACGTACAAGGTCGGTGCAGAGCGAGGCCGCTCACCAAGGTCGGCGAGCAAGAAGGTCAACCAACGAAGCTCCTGTGCCGCCATGGCACCAGCGTAGATCTCTGCCTCTGCACTGGAAGTAGCCACAGACGACGACCGAGTAGACCTCCACGACACAGCACCGGTTCCCAGACTGAAGCAGTAACCCTGAGTCGAACGCTGAGTCTCCACGTCGTCAGCGTAGGAAGAGTCGCAGTGACCAGTCAACGCCACTGGCTGAGTCCCTCCAAGCACAAGCCCCATGCCTGATGTAGTCGCCAGGTACTTCGCCACCCTCACAGCAGCTGTCCAGTGGACAGGACGGTGTCTCCCAGTCGCAACAAAGGATGCTGAGGGGAAAGGCGAGGTCCGGCCGAGTACAAGTCATCAGGTACATGAGGCAGCCCACCAGCTCTGCGTAGGGTCCACTGGACTCAAAGGGCTCGTCAGGAAAGGGGCCCGTGAGTCTGTGGTCAACAGCAAGAGGAGTGGGCTGAGTGGTGGAGAACTGGAAGTCGAACCGCCGAAGGACCTGCTGCACCATGTGTGACTGCGTCAGTGTGATGGTGCGAGCGGCTCTGTCCCGGGTGATCTGCAAGCCAAGGTAACGCTGCAGCTCACCCAGGTCAGTGCACTTGTGTCTCTTCTGCAGTTCGAACTTCACCTGAGCCAGGGCTGCCCTGTCTGCTGTAGCAAACACCAAGTCGTCGACGTAGACAAGGATAAAGAAAGGAGTAGAACCCGCTCGAACAAACAGCGACGGGTCGGCGGAGGACGGGCTGAACCCAAGGTCACGAAGCGTGGAGCGAAGAGTGTCGTGCCACTCACGGGGCGACTGGCGGAGACCGTAGACTGGTCGCCTCAGGCTCCACTGGGTCCCAGGTGGGAAGGTGTCAGTGAAGCCAGGAGGACGGCGCAGCCAGATCTCCTCGTGCAGTCGGCCCTGGAGGAACGCAGTGGAGAAGTCGAGGGAGTGCAGCTCGTAGTCTCGCTGCGCTGCTATGTGGAGTAACACCCAAAGAGTAGTCATCTTCGGGGTCGGGGCGAAGGTCTGGAAGAAGTCAACTCCCTCACGCTGACTGAAGCCCCTAGCCACGTAGCGCGCCTTGAACACCGGTGGTGCTCCAGGCGGCCGCTTCACCTTGAAGAGCCACATGCCATCGACTACGTTCGCCCTGGGAGGGGGAACTGCGTCGACGTAGGTGCCTGTGGATCTCCAAGACGCCAACTCTGAGTCCATAGCCGCTTTCCACTGAGAGGCCCACGCCCCTGACACTGCCTCGCGGTAAGTGCGAGGAGTCGGTATGTCAAGGGCGTCGGGGTCTCCCTCAGGGGAGAGCAGCATGGCACACACAGAGGGAGAAGCGGCTGCCCAGTACTCCAGCTCAGACTCTCTGTCCTCTAGGACGTCACAGCCAAGGGCAAACTCACCCCCGACGGACAGAGGATGGTAGGGAGGAGCTGGCACCACACGGGTGGCGTAGTCAAGGCGGCTGGCGGCAGCAAACTCAGCGACAGCGGCAGTGAGAGCAGAGACCGACGACGGAGGGAAACGAGAGTCGGTGACAAGAGTGGCGAGGACACGTGAGGCAACAGGACGAACAGTGCGGTAGTAGTCAGTGATAGGAGTGGGGAGGGCTGGGAGAGAGGACGGAGGAGGAGACGGGAGAACGGACACAGGAGAAGGAGAACGACGACGAGACGTACAAAGGAGGGCAGTGTGGAGGTCAGTAACAGGGGACGAGTGACGAGCACGCGGAGGACAACGAGTGACCAAGTCGCGACGGTCCGAAGGAGGAGGAGACTGGGGAGGAGGAGAAGACCAGACCGCCGGACGGTCGTCAGGAGGAGGCAACGGAGGAACAAACACAGGAGGAGACTGGGAGCGGACAGGAGGAGAGGAGGAAAAGCCAAGGGCCCGCAGGCCACTCACAGGTGGGAACAACTGCCGCTCCAGAGGAAGCTGCGGTGGCGGCTGCGACTGCTGCTGCTGCGGCGGCGGTTACGGCTGCGGCTGCTGCTGCGGCTGCTGCTGCTGCTGCTGCTGTTGCTGCTGCTGCTGCCGCTGCTGCTCCAGAAGGTCCAGCACCCGCAGCTCCTGCCGCTCCCTCTCCAACCGCTCCTGCTCCTCACGCTCACGCCGGCGAGCAGCCTGGAGTCGTGTGTCGTGGCGGTGGGGAGGCGGAGTGGACTCCGCAGAACCAGGGTCAGACTCCTCAGACTCAGCACCCCCAGAACCAGCACCTCCAGTGCCAGGACCTCCAACTCCAGCACCCCCAGTACCAGCACCTCCAATGCCAGGACCTCCAACTCCAGCACCCCCAGAACTAGCACCACCAGTGCCAGCACCTCCAGCTCCAGCACCCCCAGAGCTAGCGCCACCTGCGCCAGCACCTCCAGCTCCAGCACCCCCAGAGCTAGCGCCACCTGCGCCAGCACCTCCAGCTCCAGCACCCCCAGAGCTAGCGCCACCTGCGCCAGCACCTCCAGCTCCAGCACCCCGCGACCGAGTGCCCCCAGACCTAGCACCGCCAGTGGCTGCACCTCCAGCCCCAACACCAACCGAGTCCACAGTAACCTGTCGCGGAAGTGCCGAAGGCTGCTGAGGGGACTGTGAGGAGGACTGTGGGGAGGGAGACGCTACCTGACGCGCGACCGAGGGTAGAGGGGTAACGTGGGACACACCAGACGGGGCAGGACCAGGGGGGGGCGGGGGTACCGGAGGAGCGGGAGCAGGAGGAGGAGAGGGTGCGAGGAAAAGAGGGGGAGGGGGTACCGGGAGACCTCGACAGGGGTACCGGGTGTAGTAGGACACGAACTCGTCAAACCGGACGTCACGGGAGTCTAGGAAGTGGTGGAGGGGAGGGTGGTAAAAGGACCAGTCGGCAGAGTCCACTGGGAAACCAAGGAAGACACAGGGGACGGCGCGTGCCGAGAGCTTGTCCGCGGAGGTGTCGCGAACAAGTGCAAGGCAGCCCCAGACTCGAAAGGCCGACCCGACACCAGGGGAACCAGTCCAAAGACTGGTCGGTGAAACCTCGGGCCGCGAGACACGCGGCTGGAGGTTCAGCTGGTGTGCGGCGTAGCGAACCGCGTGGGGCCACAGAAAATGGGGCGCACGGGCATGGATCATGGACGTGCGGGCGATGTCCATGACCAAGCCTATGCGGCGCTCAGCAACCCCATTCTGCTGTGGGGACTCTGGCAGCGTCCAGGACTGGGTGATGCCCTGTTCGCCGCAGAATCCGCCGAGAATGCCGGAGCGAAACTCGCCCCCACGGTCGGAGTGGAGACAACTGACTCGACGACCACGAGTGCCCTCAGTGGCTAGAAGCCACCTGATCAGCGTAGCAGTCACCTCGGACTTCTTCGCAAGAGGGAACACTGTGGTGTACCTGGAGAAGTCGTCAACGACCACCAGAAAGTAACGCTCCCTCCCAGACCCCTGCGTCGGGGCAGGGCCCCAGACGTCCAAGTGGAGAGTCTCGAAGGGAGCGGTGGCCGGACGAAGGGAGGAGGAGTGGGGAGTGGCGCGTAAGCGACCGGCGACGCACGGAGAGCAAGGAGGGGCAAGCGAGAGAGGGAGCGACGGGAAGGTGCGTGGGAGACCTGAGACAAGTCCCTGACTGAGCATGCCACGTAGGCGAGGGAGCGACGGGTGGCCAAGGCGGTGGTGCCACAGGACAGTGCGGTGGGTGAGAGAGCGACAGGAGCAAGACGTCGCGACGGACTGGGCACAGCGACCGGACCGGACACTACTACCTGGCTAGACACAGCAACTGGACTGGGGACCTGGGCTGGAGGGGACGCAACGACCTGAGGGGAGGACGCGACCGGGGAGCGCTCGGTGTGGAGAACGTAGAGACCAGAGCGGGGCTCCCTGGTGAACGTGGCCAGAACAGCACCTGTGGTAGCGTCTGTACAGACTGCAGTCCGTCCACCCCCCACGAAGGTAACCGTGATCCCCCTGTCCTGGAGGTATCCAACACCCACCAAGTTCCGAGTGAACGAGGGGATGTGGAGGCCGCGCAGGACACCAGAGGGGACCACAGGGCACGGGAGGGTGGTGGAGCTACGCGCAACGGCTGGTCCAGAGGTAGGATCAGCCAGAGCCACCGACACAGGTGTGAGGAGTGGTGTAAGGGTCGTGTGGTCGCGGAAGAAGCACTGAGACGCGCCCGAGTCCAGCGTGAACGACAGAGAGGCCTCAGCCGGCGGGTCACCTGACCCAGTCGCTACACAAGCACCTAGAGCAGCAACACAAGCACCTAAGCTAGACAGGCATAAGGCTACACTAGCAGGAGGCAAGCAGGCTAACCTACGAACACGCGAGCACACAGATTCATCAGCACTAAAGTCAGCATCAACATACAAAGCATGCTGACGCGCATCGTCCATGGACAAATCAAAGACATCAATCTTACGGGCTAACAGACGAGACCAGCGAGGCGTGACCGCCAGAGGGCCCCAACGAGCCCGGTAGAGGTCGTCGAGGCGGCGGAAGCACCGCGCGGCAGAGTGGTCGTCGCGACCACAGAGATAGGGGCTCCCCGGCCCGGTGACGCACCAGTGGGTGCACGGGCCAGCGTCACGGCGAGGGGGGCGAGGGGCCCAGCTGGAAGTACTGCTGCTGCGGCTGGTGCTCCCAGGGCCGCCCGGACCCCACTGCGGCGGGGGACCCCAGTGTTGCTGCGGACCCCACTGCAGCGGGGGCCCCCACTGCTGGGGTGCCTGCTGCTGCTGCGGTCCCTGCTGCTGCTGCTGTCCCTGCTGTGGCGGGTGCTGCTGTGGGTACCGCTGTGGCTGCTGCTGCTGTGGGCCTCCACCAGTGGGAGGGCCCGGCTGTCCGGCGCCCGCTCCAGGGCCCCCTCCTCCCGGTGCACCACCGCCGCCGCTGCCACCTCCACCCCCGCCGCTCCCACCTCCACCGCCTCCTCCACCGCCCCCTTCACCGCCGCCGCCTCCGCCCCCACCCCCCCCCTTCCCGCCCTTCTTGCCGCTCTTGCCCCGTTTCTGCCAGTCTGCGGCAGAAACGGCAGCATTGTCCTCAGAGACCGACACAGCAGCAGAGGCGCGGGTAGCGGTGAAAGTGGGAAGCTGAGGGGCGGCACACCCCGCAAAGAGACGGGGGGCCACCGCATCAGTGGCGGAGGCAACGGTGAGGAGACTGCTCTCGATGGTCCCTAGAGCAGTCGCTAGGAGGTCGATAGTGAGCTCAGTGGGGTGCTTCTGAAGAAGCGCGTCGCGGGCAGTGGCAAGGCGGTCAGGGAGGCGGGTGACTAACCAGTGAACAGTGAGCCACATGGGGGGGGGGAGCAACTAGAAGCTGTGCGTCGGTACAGGCAGCGCGGAAACCGGCGTCAAGCGAGCGGAGGTGAGTCACTAGGTCGGAAACAGTCGCAAACGAGCCTAGGTCGGGAAACACAAACGGCATGAGGAGGCGACTGAGGGAGGCAGAGGAGGGGGTGGAGTAGCGAGCAACAATAGCCTCCCAAACCCCCTGTGCAGTCTCCACCTGGTCAAAGTGGGCGGCCTCAGTCGGGGGGAGAAGCTCCGACAGAGTGAGAGCGGCGGCTGCGTCACGCGAGAGCCACACGTCCCTGGCCAGGACCCGACGGTCGTAGTCCGCCTGTGCCGTAGGGGTCGGCTCCGGGGTGGTCGGCAGGGCGGCGGGGGACGGGGGGGCCTGTAGGGCACCAGACGCGTGAGCCCACAGAGTGGCGCCGTCCTGTCGCTGGCTGGTGAGGAAGCGTGTGGTCTGGCGCTGACAGGTACCGAACTCGATTGGGCGTCCCTCCGCATCGAAACGGAGGCGACGGGCCTCCATAGCGGAGCCCATGCTAGAGGCGGCTGGAGCACGGCGGAGGCGGAGCTAAGAACGAGGAGGAAAACTACGGAGCGCCAGGAGAGAAAGCGGCGGAGCGAGAGACTAGGAGTACCGAGCGACCTAGACTAGGCGTGAAATCGTGGATCGCCAGCTACAGGTGCGAGGAGCGAGGTATGAGCGGCTAAAACGGCTCTAACCTAGGTGACCGGCGAGAGAGAGCGGCTGCCAGCCGCTGAGGGATAGACCAGTGTCAGCAGAGCTGGGGAGGGCCCCGCGCACAAGGCGGTGGTGGGGCTAAGGTGATGAACAGTGAGAGAGGGGCGGGGAGGCCGAATGCGACGGTGAAAATGGGCGGGAGGAGGATCTGACGGTGGGAAATGGGCGGGGAGGGGAGGTTGACGCGACGGGCAAGGGAGGGCGACGGGATTGGGAGGGGAGGGCAACGCGACGGGCAGGGGGAAGTGGAGGCGAACGCGACGGGCAGGAGGAGGGGAGGCGACGCGACGGGCAGGGGGACGGGAGGCGACGCGACGGGCAGGGGGACGGGAGGCGAACGCGACGGGCAGGAGGAGGGGAGGCGACGCGACGGGCAGGGGGACGGGAGGCGACGCGACGGGCAGGAGGAGGGGAGGCGAACGCGACGGGCAGGAGGAGGGGAGGCGACGCGACGGGGAGGGGAAGGGGAGGGGTGGAGACGCGACGGGGAGGGGGAGGGCGCGACGGGCAGGGGGAGGGCGCGACGGGCAGGGGGAGGGCGCGACGGTCAGGGGGGAGGGCGCGACGGGCAGGGGGAGGGCGTGGAGGGCGCGGAGGGTACTAACGTGCGGAGGGCGCGGAGGGCACGAACGTGCGGAGGGCGCGGAGGGCACGGAGGGGCGGGCCGAGGGGCGCACTAAGGGGCGCGACGTGGGGCGGGCTGAGGGCCGCGCTAAGGGGCGCGAGGGCGCTAGGAGCGCGGAGGGCGCGGAGGGCGCTAGGTGTGACGGAGGGCGCGGAGGGCGCTAGGCGCTACGGAGGGCGAGAGGGCGCGGAACGGAGGGCACGCCGGCTAGGGCGGGGAGGGAGTCCTACAAATGTTGTACCCTCTAGGGAGTGCCTCACTGCAGCCTATCATAACATTAACATTTGAGACTACCGTAGTAGCAGCATGAACATTCAATGCGTAGGTAGTAGGCAGGTACCCACCAGAAAAGCATGTGGTGCAGTAGTCATCGACAGTCATGTACATATACCCAGTAATACATTGCATGCAAATTGACCACAAACATGTACGGTAACAGAGGTAACATAGCCTCTCAAACATGGTACGGTATCTGTACATTTCAAAAATGGAACATTGCTGCGGTACTTCTGTTGATGGTGTCTGTGCTGTGTCCTCCTGTGCTGTGTGCTATGGTGTGTGCTGTGCTGTGTGCTGTGCTGACACTGACAGCAGAAGCACATCATGCTCTTAGACAGACAGTCCAACATGCAGTAAAGATTATAATGAACTGATTCGATTGTACCTATATACGCTAGATGCTGTACATAGATTCACTCAAATATTGCAACTTGACCCAGGTGCTAATCAAAGCAGATAACCACAGCAAAGCCACCTTGAACCAGGTGCTAACCCAACCAGCATCGATGCTCCATTCAACTGGGGTTTGATTCATATTTTTTACCCCAACAATATTCCAGCCCAGTAATATCATAGCCATGTAGGGAACACGAGATGGAAGAAGCCGTAACCATAGCGCACCTCTCCGTTACCGGCGGATTCCTCGTCTTGACAGCCAGGTCGGAGGGAGAAGCAGCGAGAGTTGATGCCAGTGGCATAGACTGAGATGGCAATGCTGATGAGCGCCACTATGAATGCCTGATTGGCATAAGCAGGATGGGAGAATGAAGGAAAACGGGAAAGGAGAATGAAGGCCAAGTTGCGGTTACATACGGTGCTTGTCGGCTCCTGTTAGTATGCATGTGGATATATAATCAATGATATTGTACGAAGTGTACAAGGTGATAAAAAATGCGTGGCATAGTCTGAGATGGCTGTGTTCATGGGCGCCTCGATGAATGCCTGAGTGGCACAGGCGGGATGGGAAAGAAGAGTGAAGCATAAGCACCAGTTTGTCAGTTACGAAAAATGCTTCTCGACTGGTGGTTGTATGCATGCCATTCGAATTAAAGCATGAGTAATAAGTGTGCGAAGTGGAAAAATAGCAACTTGGGATGTTCTCACCAGAATATCAAGCCACCCGCCGTATCTGGTCTGGCGAGGGCGGGCGTTGCATGCCTCAGCGGGCGGCTCACTCATGATTGCCGACCAGCAGAGGAAGACGAAATACACCGCCATGACGCCAGTGGTGAGCGGCCCTGCGTCCACCTGCACACACACACATACAGATGCAGATGCATGCAAGTGGGATGGGAGGTTACCAGGTTACCAGGTTACCAGGTGATGCGTGCATGAGTGGGTGATGTACGTACATGTGTACATGAACATACAAGCATTTTGTCTTCTATGCATATCTGCACATCTACATGACAAATTATGAGCGAAAATTCACATTTTGTTGTTGTTGCGCCAAGAGTCACTGCCAGCGCTCCCACACACCCGGGGTTGTTTGGCTTGCGTGACTGGAAGCCTGGTACGGAGGGAGAATGGAAAGCAGGAGTGCGGGACGCAGGAGGGTGGGTGGGACGCAGGACAGTGGGAGGCAGAAGCAGAAGCAGAGAGAAAGGATGACCATGCTTCGTGTGGTGTGAAAAGGCCGAGTGTAAAGTGCGTCACTCGCAGCATTGCCAGGGCTCCCGCACAGCCAGGGTTGAAGGATAAGGGAAGGGAAAAAGGAGGGAAGGAGGGTACGAGGCTGAGGACAGCACTAGCCACGGTTTCTGCAATGCAATGATACAGGAACCTTGTTCCCACAGCAATACAACAAAGTGTACGGATCGCACTCACTGTAGAGATTATAAAGTGCATCGGTAGCATAGTCTCTAAGAAACCATGCGACTATAACGGAGGCCAGGAACAGGGGCGGAAGGAGGCAGCAGGAGAAGAGGCGGTACCGGCGAAAACACCGCAGCAGCCGGTGCAGAATCTGATGCATCGCGGATCAATGCTGATCGCTTGATGCTGACCGTCGAGCGTCGATCGCTGATCTCTGATCGACGGACTTCGACGGCTCGTATTGGATTATCGGCTCTCTTTATTGTGACGCTCTACCCAGCATAGTCCGCTGCTGCTTTTGAGACGTCTCAGAAGTCGGCTCGCTTTGGATTATCGGCTCTCTTTATTCTGACGCTCTCTACCCAGCATAGTCCGCTGCTGCTGCTTCCCCTATGCTCTGCACGCGTGGCCGTAGAACGGCAGGGGAAGGGGGAAGAGGGAAAGGGCGTTGAGGTAAACGGTGGGATAAATGACTACTGCATCGACTAGAAGATGCCTGCTTTTGAATATGCGGCAGGGAGGAGTGGTGCGAGCTAAGTGAATGGAGAGAGGGACTGGCACTGACCCATCGGCGGTTGAGAGGCGCAAGGATGGCGCCGACAGCTGGCACTGCGAGTAGCCACTGCACGTACGCGGAGCTGCATGGGATGGGGGGAGAGGACTGTGGTTCAATAATAGCACATTCGATGGTAGAGAGATCAGTGTGGTCGTGCATTGCGCGTGCAGGGAGCTGCCAAGGGGTGAGTGGAGAGGGACGGCGAAAAGGGGTCGTGCTCGTGCGTCGTTACCATTCGAGCGTGCTATTCGCCGTCAGTCCAACAGTGTCGATCGCAAAAGCACGCACTGCTGCTCCCGCTGCGCAGTTTACCGGAAATAGGCCGTAAATGGCAGCAAGCTAGCTACGTAAATTGGTTGGGAGGTCTATCAGATACCACTTGCTACGAAATTGTTAAGTATGCTATGCAATATTATGCCATGGTACCTATTTAGCGCCGCGATGCACACGCGCTCCCCCGGCGCGACGCCGCAGAGAGTCTCCATGCGACATATGCGACCGATTGCGACCCGGTTAGCGTCGCACCGCTGTCGTCGTCGACGGTGACGACGCTTTTCGCGCGACGCTGCTGGAGCGATTGGAGCACGTGGCACACGTGCGACCACGGCGGAGTGAAATGGCTGGAACATAATTTGTAAAGCGTATTAGGGCGTGTTACATTTTCTCCTTTTGCCAGTCCGGACGGGCCTCGTCCGGACATTTGAGTGGTTACCAATTTCGTGTAAATTCGCTAAACGCTTCGTTAGAACCCATGCGACGCCGTTAACGTTCGGACCGTTGATGGAACATTTTGCATTAATTGCCCTCCCAAATCGTCCGGACGTGTACCGTTTGATAAACGGACGGACGTAACAGTAACGCGTTTACACTGGCCGACGAAGAAGACACTGCGAGTCGCTTGAATGTTACCTATCTCGTTACGGTGTCGTTGTCCTGGTTACAGGCTCGCTAGTATTCTAATTTTCGTAAGTGTGAAAAGTGTCATGAACAACGTCCGGACGAGGCTCAGTCTGGACGTTGGACTCGGACCGTCCGATATTCGGTATCCGAACCGTTCTCAGACGGTTGTCCAGACCTTTACCTCTTTTAGAAAATGTAGCACGCCCTTATTTTTTGGCTGGAGCCGATGGGTGGCGGCGGAAAGACTTGTAAAACAGAGTAGCTGTGACTACTGGAGGGCTGGAAACTTGGCTGGAAAGTCTTAGCAGGGCTGCTGGAATTGACTGGATGAGGTAAAACTTCACTATGTTCAAGATTAACAAGCCCACTAAAGCACAACTCTATAGGCATCACAAACAAGACAGATTGAAAGCTCAAACTAGGCTGATAGACAATGTAACTTCCCTGGTAACTTGGGCACAATCTAGATTGGATGGACCTTGAGTGACTTTGAGTGCCACATGAGGTGCATGAATAAGAAAACTCTGGATATTTCTGTTATAGCTGATTCTGATGTGTAGAAACCTGTAGAAACTGCCAACACTTCGGTTTGAAGGCAGCTTTGAACTATATCGAGTCTTCGGCTGAAATCTGATTGGTGGTGGAACTTTCGAAGTACTTCCCGAAGCTCTGATTCATCGCCGACATTCCCCCTTGCTGCTGCTTGTGTGCAAAGGGCTGGGGCGGCAGAAACTCGATTCTCCAACAGAAAGGACATGGGTTAGCGGTGGCGAAAAGCTCGTGCGACTTGAACGAGCACGTAACGCCGCTAGATCCAGAGACGGGATGAGAGAGCTACGGTAAAAGATGGGTATGGTGTAGCTAAAAAAATAAAGCTGTTAGTACCTCGGTAGAATCAAGGAATCCAGGGAGCATTGCATACTTGGAATGGAATGCAACACAGAGCATGTAGACTGAGTGTACTCTTTTGTCAAACATGCATATCTGAAGGCTAAATGTGACCATTTTGTGTTGAGTTACTAAGTAAGAGTAAGCTTAGGTTTTAGGTAGGGCCTAGGCTTAGTAGCCTAGGCCTAGGGGAAGTCGAGGAGGTTGTGCCAAGGTGAGAGTCGAGAATGGGAAAAGTGATGTTCACTATAGCACTAGGGTACATATAGTAAACAGAGCATGCAAAGAAGGTGCACCACCAACAGTTTATAATAACTACACTAAACTACAGCTACAGGCAGTTACATATAAATTCTAACACTCCCCCATAACTGCCTGCAGCAGGAGTTTGTGCCGAACACAACCTGCAGGGGTATACCAGCAACAGCAACAGCAGGTACGGTAACAGAGCAGGTACAGCAGCAAAGGGACAGGCGACAGCAAGAAATTCCTGCCACCCCCTTACTCTCTTCCCCCCCCAACCACAGGAGGGGCAGCAGGGAGAGTGAGGAGGCGGGCTGGCTCTGGCTGGTCACCCCCTCCATTTCCTCACCCTCCCCCTCCCCCTCCCCCCCACACTGCTGCAGGAGCAGCAGAGGGGGGAAGAGAGGAGAGGTGGAGGGACGGCTGCTGGTTGGTCTCACACCCGCCACCCCAGTGCCACTCCCCCGGCTCCCCCACACCCTCACACCCTCACACCCTCCCCCCCAGCGGCAGCTGCAGCAGTGGGAACGAAAGGAGGAGGAGGGGAAGGGAAGCACACCACCCATCACCCCAACACCCGCCACCCCCATACCCTCCCCCCCACGGCTGCAGGGAGACGAAGGAGGAGGGGGTGGGCGGGGAGAAAGCCGCAGAGCGGCTACAGAGGGTCGGCGCGGGTAGGTCAGGGGCGGCTGCAGTGAGTGCAGGCGCGGGGTGAGGCAGAGGCGGCTGCACCGAGTGCAGGAGCGGGGGCGGCTGCTCCAAGGGCAGGCGCCGGGTGGTGCAGGGGCGGCTGCAGCGAGTGCAGGCGCGGGTGAGGCAGGGGCACCGCCGAGTGCGCCAGGGGCGGGTACGCGGCGGCTCAGGACACCGTCGCAGGCGCCAGGGGCGGTTCCGCGGCGGCTCAGGGCACCGTCGCGCACCACGGGGCACGTGACGGGCAGTTTAGGGCACCGTCGCATGCCACGGGGCGCACGACGGGCAGGGCACCGTCGCGTGCCACGGGGCGCATGACGGGCAGGGCACCGTCGCGTGCCACGGGGCGCACGACGGGCAGGTTTAGGGCACCGTCGTGTGCCACGGGGCGCACGACGGGCAGGGCACCGTCGCGTGCCACGGGGCGCACGACGGGCAGGGCACCGTCGCGTGCCACGGGGCGCGCGACGGGCAGAAAAGATGTCACTCGCCACCCGGGGGCGGGACAGGACGAAAATCGCCACGCGCCCGAGGCGCGCGACCGGAAAAACAGCAGCGGAAGCGTGAGGCGGGCCCACAGGCCAGGACGTAACTCGCTCTAATGCCATGTTGAGTTACTAAGTAAGAGTAAGCTTAGGTTTTAGGTAGGGCCTAGGCTTAGTAGCCTAGGCCTAGGGGAAGTCGAGGAGGTTGTGCCAAGGTGAGAGTCGAGAATGGGAAAAGTGATGTTCACTATAGCACTAGGGTACATATAGTAAACAGAGCATGCAAAGAAGGTGCACCACCAACAGTTTATAATAACTACACTAAACTACAGCTACAGGCAGTTACATATAAATTCTAACATTTGTACTTGTACCGTACATTATGGATACCAGAACAATGGCTCATGCATTGCTATTGAGATATGACAGCACGGTACTGGCTGGATACTAAAACTTGATGAGAGAAGGAAACAAAAGAGGAATGGAAGCTGTTCAGGAAAAGAGGGAGTGTTACGATATGAAACTTTATGAGAAGGCATTCCTGTATGCTGCAGGAGCCGACTCTACCGAGTACGAAGTCGAGGAGTCAGAAGAGTCGAAGCGACGCAGCAACCGTCTGACCAAGACCGATGCTGGCAGAAACATTTGAAGTGAAATGAGCGGGAACAGGTTTGAAACTGGTTCCCGCGCCGCACGGTTTGAATTCGGTTGTAATAAGGGAATGTACCCCTTAGAGTACATGGCTAGTCTAGGTCTTTTCGTATTCCCCTGTACTCTTATATAAACTCGATGTATGCATGTTATTATTAACTCAGTCATTTACATTCACTCTGACCTGAGATTCAAACTTCCGCTGCAACACCACTCTGCGATCAACCCTGAGCGATCCTTCGCTAAGTCCTTTTTAGGACTGTAACATGGTATGAGAGCTACTCAGGGATTCTTCGCAACTTCACTTCCGTGAAATTCGCCGAACCAAGATCTGGCGAGCGGCACACGCTCCAAGACCAAGATGGCCGGAGGATCCGGAGGCTAAGCAAATCTAACGGCTGAAGGACAAACCAACCCGGCTGCGACAAATGAGGCGACAACTACGATCGGCACTGCCGCCCTCGAGCAACTCTTCGCTCGACTTTCAACTATGGAGAAAGAACTCTAAGACCTGCGCAACCTGGACAACCGGCTGAGAAAAGCCGTGATATCGCCGCGCATACCTTCTCCCTCGACACAGACAAATCAGCAACAACCGCCCCCCGTCCAAGTGATGAAGCTATCAACTCTGCGCAAGCACGCTTCCTTAGCGTTTCAAAGATCAAGACTACTGCCGCGTTTGACGGCAAGGATTTTTATACATGGAGTTTTGAGCTTGAGCTCCTCCTACAAACGGCGCAGATCTACCATTACTTCGACGGCTCCTATTCTAAACCGGTGGAAAACACCGAAGTCGGCAGGGCTCAATACTACAGTGAGTCCCTCATGGCCTACAGTGTGCTGCTACGCAATATGACGCCTGCGGAACAACTCAACATCCGCTCCTACAAAGAGAGCGACGCTCCAGCCCTGGAAGCCTGGAAGCATCTTGTTGAAGTCTATCAGCCGAAGGATTCGGTCACCGCCAGCAGGCTTCTGCAGCAACTCCTGGAGATAAAAATGGGGCACGGGGAGAAAGCGAATCCTTATATCAACCGCTGTCGTAACATCCGTGACCAGATCACGAAGCATGGGAGTACGATCTCGGAAGAGATCTTCGTCAATATAGTCCTCCAAGGACTCGGGCCTGAGTGGAAGCCCTGTAAGGCGTTACTCCGACAGCGAGGGACAATTTCAGAAGCCGCGCTATGCGCCGCTCTCCTGTCCGAACAGCAGGACATGGAATCGAGCAGAACAAGCTCCGCGCCGCGCCGAGAGCGCCTCGCCTTCTACGCTGACAACCGTGAAGAGCGACGACAACCAAGGCGCCACTATTGCAAAATATGCAAGGTCTTCGGACACTCAACGGATCGATGCAAGTCCCGATCCAACTTTCGCCACCCAAATTCCACTCACCATAACAACTGGGTCGGCCGACAAGACGCTCGTCATTCTCAACCTCAGCAACAACAAACTCGTTCCCCTGCACAGCAACAAAACCATCAAACTCAGGGACCTCAGTCAGGAGCTCCCAGGAACGTCATCGCGAACATGGCGACGCGCCGCCGCCGCACCGATGAACCTGACGAGGAAGATGAGACTCAAGGAAGATTCCTTGAGCCAGAAGAGGGATGGAATAATCC